ACAATGTATTAAAAATACATCTGCGCCAGCCTAATAGATGAGGAAGGGGTGCGAGGCTGGTCAACAGATAGAATCTGTTTACCCCTTAAATATATATTTACCCCTTAATATATATTTATACCCCTTATATATATTTATATATATATATAATATATTTATATATATATAATATATTTATATATATATATAATTATACCCCTTATATATATTTATAAATATATATATAATATATATTTTTACTTAATATATACCCCTTAATATATATTTACATATATATATATATATATATATATATATATATATATATATATATATATATATATATATATATATATATATATATATATATATATATATATAAAGTGTGTATGTCACTGTCAACCACAGAACCAGGTAACCAGGAATTAACTAAATGCTAATGTTTATAATATAGTTTAATATTGCAACTCTGAGTTTTATGTGTTACCACAATCATCAGGCAGGTAGTAAAAGTTTAATTTTGCAACAATTTGTTTAGTGGATGCGACGGTTTATGTTAGTATTTTAGACTACAAATCATGTATTTGTAGTTTTGTAGTTAGGTTAATAACATTATTAAATAGTTATTAGTTGGCTAATAGTTGTGAAATATTTATATGTTTTAATGTTTTTTTAAATATTCCTTTATGTGATAATGTGCATAATATTATGAAATATATTACAACAGTTGTGTATGTGAGTAATTTAGAGATACATGAAGTAGAGCAATATAGTTATTGTTAGTTAGGTGTGTAGCGAGCTTTGTAAATTTTAAATAAGAATTTATTTTTATGGCGGCACATTGATATAATTTCAGTTCTTTTATTTAGCAGTTCCCCAGGTTTTGAATACGATATAATAGCAAATTTCTCATACAGACATATTGAGTACCATTTGGAAATATTTGAGTTGGGGGTAACAGACTTCAGAATAAACCATGTTAGTACAAGAGTTTCATAAAAATTGTTTTTCAAATCTGAGATTAGTTTGATAGGGTGGTGGACTTTTTGTATTCAACATTACTGAATGATGTTTTGTTTTCTAATATAAACCGTAACATCTAATAAACAAATCGTAGCAAAATTAAATTTTACTAAAACACCACTATTTAATAACACTATTATTAAATTTAGTTAAACTTAAATTTTAATTTTCTGTAAGTTTAGTAACACTTTGGACAGTCAGCATGTAGCAGAGATGGGGATCAAGTTGCGCTACCATCTAGCATTGCAATGAGATTGCCATCACATTAGTTACCAACAAAAACATTTTTTTTTTAATTAATTGGGTTTTATTTTTATTTTTAAATGTTAGTATAGTTTTTTATAATATAATTCTTACTGTTAATGTTTGATGTCATCTTATGCCATTTGAAATTGCAGTTTGTATATTTTTGTTTGATCAAATTCAATGTAAGTGTTAAATTGAATTACTATATCTTAACTTAACTAAACAAAAAACGATTGTTTTTTTTTAATATTATTATTTACATAATTTAAAAATCAAATATTGTATAAATTGTTAGAATTATATAAAGATATCAGGTGATTTATTTGTTTTTCTGTTTAGATGATGATAATACTTATACTGATAATGATGATAAAGTTGCAAGAAAGTTTACATGCATTTTGATTATTTATAAATATCTTTACAAATAGAATAAAAGTTTTTGGTTTCTTTAAGTTTCAAATAAAGAGTTATATAAAATAAAATGTAATTTGAAACTTAAAACTTTAACAGTAATAGTAATAAAGATGCTGAATCACAAATAGAAGTTGAATTGCTAAACACATATATGGTTATACATCCATTATGACAGCCTACACTACTCTTTATTTTATTCATAATAATTATACATAGAACTTTTCTAGTGTTTCAACGTCACCTTGCAAATTGCAAACTCAAGTTGAGGTCTAGCTAGCACTGTGTACAGAGGACATACCATTTCTATATTTAGATGAGTGAAGAAATGCTAGATGATTACAAGAACATTCTGTGCTTTTGCTGCTGCTGCGTTAATTTGATGATGCCATTTGATGTCTGATGAAGTCACATTCTATGGTTGTTTTGCCTAGTTTGTATTTAACATTATTTTTTCATCACCAATTTCAGCTTCAATTTTTCAAAATTTTTATCATTGTTTAAACAAAGCAAAGGAGAGGTATAAGTCTATATAAATATTTGGGTGTTCCCTAACTATATTATAAAAAACTAATTGAAGAAAAATGATTGTCAAAAAAAATTGATAAAAATGCACTTTTTGATTTTCAGATAATAAACTTTACTTTTTATGCTATTAAAATCTAAAATATTTATTTTTATATAGTATAGTTATTATTTTTAAAATTATCATATAACTTTGCTTCATTTGAGATCCAACATGAACGCTTTTGAAGAACTTTTTTTTTGATAATATTAGGAACTGGTTAAATGTTCAAGGGTCTTAAAGGGACCCCTAAAAATATTTTTTATTCTAAAGTTTTTTAAATAATTTTTTTTTTAATTATATAGAACACATTAAGTTGGTGGCAGCATATATTTTTAAAAAACGTTATTTTTAGGGAGTCACAAAAAACATTTTGGAAATTTATATTTAGGCTAATCTAAATTTAAAAATTTTAACAATAATTTTATATTACATTACTAACATAACATAAGAAACTTGGAGATGAAATGCAGCTAATAAGAAAGAATTGTATAACAAGAAGTAATACCATTACAGATTATAATTATTTAGAAAAATAAATATTTAAGTATGGCAATTATTAAACAATTATTTTATTTCCGTGATAATTAATTGATATACTTTCTTGTTTGGTTGCATGATGGGTGGATGGGGAAGGGGGAAATATCTAAAATATTAAATCTGGGAAACACCAAATGATAGACTTAACTTGATTACTCAAATATTTAAACTCAAATTAAATAACCTCTTCAATAATTTTTTTAAACATGGTGTATTAGCTCAAGTTATAGCCCATCTTCAGGTTATTGCGTTTCAAAAGTGTGGTAGCCACATGTTTAAATTTTCTCTTCGCAAATGATTAATAACTTAAATAAATTATGATAAACAGTACAGGGTATCCATAATTTGATATCTGCAGAAATTCCAGATTGAATTATGAAATGTGAACGTTATGGTGTTATTAAAACTTGCATGATTCATGGTCCATGTGCCCTGCTAATCCCAATTCTTCCTCAATAAAAATAGAGTAAACAGTTTAAAATATACTAAAAAATTTAATGTCAACACAGTTGCAGTTTAAAAATGGCTCTCCACACTATAGGCATTGTGAAAATGGTTTAGTTATGAATATTAAAGACAACAACATAGAAAAACATTTGGTGATACCTTATAATTTGTGGTTATCTAAAAAATATCAAGCTTACATAAATGCTGAAGCTTGTTTGCTAAAGCTAATAAAACTTTTTGTACAAATACATACACAAGAGGAAGGACTGTGTATTCATTTTGATAAATGAAAAAAATTAATCATGAAGTAAAAACTTCTTTAGATCGTCATGTTTTAGTGTGCCAGAAACGTTATAGCAAATTTGTATGTCACAGTCTATTAGACACCTTAAAGTTCATTGTCCTGAAAATCATTTAGTGTATTTTAGAAAAGGAGTAGAACAAGTAGCTTTAGATTGTGCTGTTTAATGTGATATACATCTTATTGTGTGGCTCAATTTAAATTCGGAAAATGATTGAGTATATTTTTATTTGATGACAAATATTGCAAATGGAAGGTTAGACAAAGAGGTGGTAATAAGCAGCCCTCGGAAAAAATGTGTATTAAGTTAATTTAACTAAAAAATTATTTTTTCTTAACTGAAATTGTTACATTTACAGGCAAAAGAAACCATATCTTGGAATGATGTATATACTGTTAATGGTATTGCATTTTAAATGGTTTATTGCATTTTAAATGGTTATAAATTTTGTTTGTTATTTTTCAATATTTTGACATTATGTGAATCTGATAATCATTGCATTTTTGGAATACATACAAAGCTTTTATGATGAAAGGTTTTATTTGCCACTTAATCATTAGGAGGAGGATTTCATTGAGAATTTCAATCACCACTCAATTTTTAATTGCTGAACAAGCTACTCTTTGCCGAGTTGAAACGTTCAAAGTGCTTTACCACTTTGATGGCTGATTATTATCTTCTGTTGATGAACTAATAGATTTTAACTCTATTCATGGACACTTTTTAAGGCAAGTTAGTTTTTTTTTTTAGGTTCACGAGACATGATACCCAAACATCTCTTAAATGCAATTGATAAATTATTTAAAAAGATAATTGCAATAACAACTTTTGATTAAAAGAAAAATTTATTCTTTTTGGTGGCAACTTTAAAATACAACCTGTTGTGAAAAAAAAGACAACCAGATGAAGTGATAGAAGCATGCAAAAAATATTTTATACAGTGGCAATTGGTGCAGAAGTTTGTATTAAAATACCAAAGTTTATGATAGGGAAGGAGAATTTTTCCAACAGCTTTTACAACTTGGTATTGAAACAATACTGTCAAAGAAGAAGATACTTTTAAAGGATGTATTAAAACACTAAATCAGTTAATTAATAAAGAAAACGACTCAATGATTGAAGATATTTGGATTCATAGTCAACCAATTAAGAAGTGCTGAAACATCTACCAGCAGAGGTCAAAACCTGTTTAAGTGTTGATATGGCAACATGATCATACCATCTAATGATGTTAAATAAAAAAAGTTAATATATCAACAGATTTTATTTAATTGCTTTTGCTTAAAAAAAAAACTTAAAAATCTTTTTCCATTAAATAAATATTACTCAAAACTCTTTAATATTTTACTTGACCCCATTTTACTTTAATAATATTTTTTTCATAACCTTTTTCATAGTAATTAGTAAATCTTTTTTATAGTAAACAGTTTTTTTTATATTGATCTTCTTCATAGTGAATAGACCAGTTATCTTAATTCAAAGCTTACATTTGTTGTGGGATAGACTTTTGATGCAGTTGACTTTTTCCAATGCCCAGAAATGGGTTTTTGACCATATTGATAGGGTTTCCCTGCTGACTCATCAAAATGATGATTTCCATAACGACCTTTAACATGGACTTGATCTATACCAGATACATGTTTAATATCTTTACCAGAACTTAAATTATCAACGATTTTGTTTGTAAATGCAATATCTTCTAAAATCTATAATTATTTACAAAAATTAAAGAAATTGATTAATATATATAACTTTAGTTTATTAAAAGCTGTTAGTTGAAAATTGATAGTTAAATGCTTATGGTTGAATGTTGATGGATAAAAGTTGTTATTTAAAAGTGGATGGTAGAATGAATAAAAGTTGAATCATAAGGTTTTTTAGAAAACATTATTTAAAATTCAGTCAATTAAAAAGTATTGAAAATCAATGTGCTAATAAAATTCACAATAACAAACCGTAACACTATTATTCATTAAATCGGGTCTTTGGACATAATCTCCAATATGATGAATATGAAATCTTTTTGATTCTGCTGAGGTTTTATTTAAACTTACAGGAACTCTAAAAATATATTCTCTATGCTGTATATTTTGAGCATACAAACTTGATGTTGAATTTGTGGTTGCCTTTTTATTTGTTACTGGATCCAAAAAATTCTTTTTATAACCACTAATTATAAGTAGATCACTGGATTCACTAGAACGCTAAAATTAAAAGTAGAAAAAACTAAAATAAAATATTTTATAAAATTTTAAACAATATTTTACTAATACATTATTGTTTAAAACAACTTTAATAACCAAAATTTTCTAATATATACTCCACACAATTTTCCTATTCACAAATTAATAAATGATGCAAGTCCGTACCCTCCTCCATTTATTTATTTGTAATATATTAGAAAATTTTAACTCCTTAGTTGTGATTAAGACAACTTATTTTAAAAAAAGAACACACACACACAGACACATGGAATATATGGATATTAAATTTAGAAAAAAAAAAATCATTTAAAAGTAATATTTAAAAACTAGAACTTAAAAAAATACAAAACTACATAAAGAAAAATACAAATACATAAAGAAAAAATGAATTGATTGAAATTAGTTTCAATTTAGTTGATAACAAAGGGAAATGAATTTTATTTAATAAACTCAATATACTATAAAAATAATTTATTAAAATAACTCCTAAATTATATAATAGTGAAAACTTATTTTCAAACTGTATACATACCAGTATATATCTTATTTTCTATCAATTTATATCATTTTGTTTATTGTTGAGCAATTATCAACTGTAAATAAGTTATTTTGAAAATAACTTATTTACAAATAAAAATAACTTATTTACAAATGAAATGATGAAAATATTATTACATGTTTTCAAGTTGTTAAACAGCATCTTCTTAACTTATGTAAGTTGGTTCTTTTTAATAAATGCTTTTTATAATATAAGAAAACTTAAAAACATAAAAAAAAAATTAGAAAAAAGGTTATAATTATTAATCAACATTTAGTTATAATTTTTTTTTTTTTTTTTTATCATTTTATTGAAAAAAAAAGCCATTTTTGTGACACATGAGCAAAAACCTAAAAGATAACAATGATTTATAATAAATAAATAAACACAGTGCATTCAACATAGTCAGTGTAAAAATTGTAGTTTTATAAAAGAAGTTAGGTTACAAGATTATATAGGTTATGTCATATTTGCTTGTGCTTATTGAATTTATTCAAAAACTAGTCAACTTCAAATTAACTTGCTTAAAAAAAAAAATTTGTACTTCTATGCCTTTATTCTTCTATGTATTTATGAAAAAATGATGCACTTTAGTTTGCACAGATGTGCAAAAACCAATTTCCCATTCTGATTTTTCAATTTATATTTAATATTTTGGAAGTATCATTTACAAATGTTTACAACTAAATAAATAATAAAAGAATAATGTAACTACATTTTAGTAAAATGAAAGTTTTTATATCATGCTTACATTCGTACTTGGTACCAAATTTTTTCTATCCGCATCTCGAAATCCATTTTTTTGTTCATCATTTATAACATCTGAAAAAAAAATTATCTTCTTTCATACTTTTTTAATTAAGTATTAAGTCCAATGTATGTCTATTTTAAACATAAAAAAAAAACTCCTTATCTTTTTGCACACACTTGTTAAAAATCAATTATCAAAAATCCAATCTGCCTGTTATGAATAAACATTAGACTTAATATTATTTGGCTGCAAGGTATATCCATATATATATATATATATATATATATATATATATATATATATATATATATATATATATATATATATATATATATATATATATATATATATATATATATATATATATATATATATATACATATATATATATATATACTACTGTGATCAAAAAGTAAGGTGAATTTTTTTATAAAATGAAAAATCTTTATTTATTCTTCCAAATCTGTATCGCCCCCCTCAAAATAATCCCCCCCGGCCCCAATGCACTTTTGCCAACATTTTTTCCAGTTTTTGAAGCATGCCGAAAAGTCCTCGGTAGGGATAGCCTTCAATGCGCGTGCCGATTCACGTTGGATCTCTTCAATGGACTCAAAACGATTTCCCCGGAGTGGTCTCTTGAGCTTTGGAAACAGTCAGAAGTCACACGGTGCTAAGTCGGGCAAATACGGTGGTTGTGGAGCAACATGGGTAGAGTTTTTGGCGAAAAACTTATGAAGAACCAGTGCTGTGTGCGAAGGCGCATTATCGTAGTGCAAAATCCAAGAGTTATTGGCCCATAATTCCGGTCTCTTTTTGCGAATAGCTTCACGCAAACGTCACATAACGCTTAAATAATATTCCTTGTTGACAGTTTGGCCAGTTGGAAGGAATTCGTAGTGCACCAACAACAATAATCAAAGAAAACAGTCAACATGACCTTGATTTTTAAGCGACTTTGACGTGGTTGCTTCGGTCTCGGCTCGCCTTTTTCACAGTATTCACTCGATTGGTCGGTTGTTTCAGGGTCGTATGCATAGACCCAAGTCTCATCGCCAGTAATAATTTGTTTGTAGACGTCTTGATAGTCAGAAAGCATTGCTTCACATGCTTTAACGCTACGCTCTTTTTCAAATAAATTGAGAAATTTTGGCACCAAACGTGATTTGAGTTTTCTGAGGCCCAAATGATCCTTCAAAATCGCTTGCACCAACCCAAATGATATTCCAACCATGTCAACAAGGTCTCGAATGGTTAACCAACGATTTGCAAGCAGTAATTATTTGATTTTGTTGATGTGGCGATCATCAATCGAAGTCGATGGTCGTCCGGAGCGTTCCAAGTCATCAACACGTTCTCGGCCTTCTTTAAAGTCTTTGTACTAATTGTAAACATTTTTTTGAGGCATAGTCTCTTCACCGAAGGCCTTTTGCAACATTCGATACGTTTCAGCAGCAGAAATATCATTCCGCAAACAAAATTTAATAGCACTTCTTTGCTCAACAAAATTAGACATCGTGAAAATCGCCTAATGCACTTTTGGTACTTCAGAAACAAGCGTAAACAAAAAAAAATAATTATGAGTTTGACATGTAATTTGGACATGTAATTTGACATGTAATGTTAATGACATTCCTACCAACTTAAAAATAAAAAAGATTGGACGATTCGAATAAGGCGGGAAGTTTAAATTAAAAATTCACCTTACTTTTTGATTACAGTAGTATATATATATATATATATATATATATATATATATATATATATATATATATATATATATATATATATATATATATATATACACATATATATATATATATACATTTTTTTTTTTTTTTAAATTATTTGATAGACTGCCTGCCTAAACCAAACCCTCAGTCAATGTAGCAGCACTCCGTTGCAAGTCAAGCTATTTGAGAGTCGATGTAGCAGCACTCCTTTGCATGCCAGGCTATAAGATAGTTGATGTAGCAATACTTAACAAATAAATTAAAACGTTCAAAGTGTTTTTAAAAACATTCTAGTCTTTTAATTTGCGCTTTTGTGATTTAATTACTTCCTACAATCAAATTAATGTGTTTTGACATAATCTAACTTTAATTTTGTCAGCTTTAAAACCACAAACAGGCGAAGAGTCATTTTTTATGAAAAAACGTGTTTTCTTAGCCTTATATATATATATATATATATATATATATATATATATATATATATATATATATATATATATATATATACATATATATATATATATATATATATATATCAAATTAGACAGGGTTGCTTCCCTCCACAGGTCTCAAACTATTAATTTTGTTTTTTACTTTATCAAATTATTTATTACTTTAGTTTAGTTGTTTTGAAGCTCCTTTAAAGATTATTTGTAAATACTTTCAAAAAAAAAACTCAAAAAAAAAAAAGACTTTAGTCATGCCACTGTGTAATAACAGATTGCTTTTTTAAAGAGGCTATAGGGCTATATAAAGCAAAAAAAACAAAAAAATTTCTAAACTATTACAAGTTTTTGCTAAAGATTAAAAATAACCCAAAAAATGTTCAAATTGGTTTTTAAGTAATATGGTTTTAACTGTAAATAGTAATATCTAGTCAATTTTTTATTAGTGCGCTCATAAAAAAGGTCTAAATTATTTTTGTGATAGTTGTGTATCCTGGCTTTTTTGTAAATATTATTTAAGTTAAAAAGAGGGGACTTAAAAGCCTAAAATTAAAGAATAATATTGAAGTAACTTCAAATTGTTGCAAAAGGTTCATATTAGGTAATTTTTATTTGTCAAATAGTTGATTATTTATTTTCTTAGTTGATAAGAAAATAAATATGTTGATCATTTCCAAACTTTTTACAAAAATGAATGTCTATGTCAAATGTAACGCAGAATGTTTATTTTTTATTTTTAAATAAAACTACTTTGGTTTTAGAAATCTTAATACTGTAGCTGTTATTTTTTTAATCTTTAAGTGCAGTGTCATCATCCAGCAGAACAAAAAAAATAGTTGAATCTTTATACTTTTTAATAGTTATATCTTATACTTTTATGTGTGAATAAAAAAGTCAACAAAGTATCAACTGCATCTGGTTAAACACACACTGCTTTAGATGCATTTAGATGAGTAAAATAAGATCTATACGAGGAGCTTCAAGTGGATCATTTGACTACAAGTATTATCTTCTGATAGAAATTTAGCAGAAAACTTCATAAACAAGTTTTTGAATAAACAGGATTATCAGGAGCTGTAATATTTTGTTACAATTTCACAAAAGTTTGTGACAATAAGAAACATTATACATGCATTTCCTGAGCTATTAGAAAATGCTTCATTTTTCTAGCTGTTGACTAAATGCAATTTTCATTTCAAGATTTTGTAGCTTCTTTTCTAGACAAAAAGCATTATAAACAAATAAATATTAATACAAACATTGACTCATACAGTATTAATATCTCATTATTATTCATTATTATCTTATTCATTTTCTTCAACAAAAGTTTGTCAAAAAGGTAAAAGGTAACAGTGTGAAAATTTAAGAAAATATTAATAAAAGCAATTAATGGAAAAAGCGGCAAAATGTAAAAAATAAGATTAGAGATAAGTTTTTTTAGTTTAAGTTTTTTAATGCTGAAAAAAAACGTCAAAATAGAATTACCTTCTTGGTGTATTTCTTGTTTATGGCTCTAGAAATAACTTCCTGTAATGTATTTAGTTGTATGTAAATTAGTAAGCTATTTCTGCCAAAAAGGTTTTTTCGATTCAATTTGTACTAGTTCAATCTTGTAAAGTTTTTTTGTTATTATTTTTAGTTAACCAAATGCGTTTTTGGATGATTCAGTAACCATAGACTGTTTAAAAGCTATGTGTTGTAAAATATCCAATCCAGTTGACATTTAACTAAAAATAATAACAAAAAAGTTCTATAAGATTGCTCCGGTACAATTTGAATTTTCATTAACAATTCTGAAATAATATTTCTTTAAAAATACGGGATAAGATTGTTTGTAACAAAAATTAAAACCAATTAAAATCAATATAAGCAAACAAAGCAAGCTAAAATACACTTTATTTTAAAGCCAAGATACTCAACAAAATAAAAATAAACTGGGAACCTTGTAGGCACAATTTTTTATTTATTTAATTTATTTTCTTGTGAGTATTTTTCGGAAAACTATAGTATTTGAGCACAAAATAAAACCTGCATAATTTTTGAAAACATTTTGGCTTCTTGAATAATTGTTTTTTTTTTTTGTTTGTTTGTTGTTTTTTTTAATATCTTTTGAACATTTATTTCGCGCGCTTTATTTGGTTTTTGCGCAGTTGGTTTAATAAGCTAAATAATTTTTAAATATTTAAATCAACGTGGAAAAACGCTGGTTAAATGATTACGCATTACTACCATTTAGTAATTTGTCCTTTAACCCTTACCAACTTTTTTTTTAATTTAAAATCTGGGGTCATTATAAAATTGAAATTATATTTCATTTTTTGCGAAGACAATTTCCTTTTTCACCTGTAAGCTAGTTATTTTAAACGTGTTATTTTAAAAACGCTTAAATGATTAGCTGTTTTTTGCACCTGTTTTGTCCGACGGACTATCATCGGCAATCTTTTGTGCGATTTTTAGAATTTCATCATCTTTCAATGCTTCATAAGCAGCTACTTTTGTTTCTTTTTCATTAAGAGCGTCTAAGTCTTTTCTTATGAGTAAATCATTTTCTTCTTGATTTTTGTTGAACTTTCTTAAAGCTGGTCCACTTATTATTATATTTCTTGAGGGAATTTTTTCCCCTTGAAAATGATGTTTTGTATTAAATGACTCACCAAATGAAGAAGGCTCATCTCGATTTTTGAAATAACTGACAGTCTCAGCGTTATTATTTCTTGATTGATCATTACTTCTTAGGTCATCACTTTCTTTATCGTGATCTTTCAGGGAAGGTATGGGCATATAGTTGTACATTCTTGTCTTTTTATTCGAAATCTCATTTTCATTAACATCTAATGGCCGGTGATTTAATTTTTTAACACGCAACAAAGAATCTCTAAATAACTCAGAGTTCTTTATTTTGTGTGCAAATTTATGATCAAACTGATATGGCTTTTTATTCATTTCTTGAAAAGATTGAATATTATCTGATTGCCCATCATAAGGCATAAAGTTATTATGTTGATTTCTTTGATAATACCCTTGAGAGCTATCATAAGAGTTATGGCTCTTTATATCATTTGTAAACTCAGAGCTAAGAGAATCTACAGGTTTTTCTTTCGCCATTTGTAGCAAACCAATATTATTGGCAATTTTGTTAATTTCTTTAGTTAAAAAATCATTAGAAGCATCTAGTCTATCTAGGTTTATCTTGTCAGCTATTCCATAATTAGGTATTGTTTGGAATTCCTTTATATTATTATTTTTAAGAAAAGGTCTTTTATAAACAAACTGATGGATATCTTCTTTAAAACGAGAACTTTCTCTTTGATTTGGTTCTGATGACAAATACTCATTTGAAACTTTTCTTAGCAATCTATCGCTGTTTTCATTATTGTTGTTTAAGTTTTGATTGTTGTCGGAACGAAATTTTTCAAGTAATTTGTACAATTGGCTCAAGTATTCATAGCGAAAATTGTTCTTCTTTAACTTCCCAGTTTCTTTGATATTTTCTTGGCTACTTTGCCTTTCATCAAATAAGTTTTGATTTTCATTTTCCGAATCTTTTCTTACATCATTCATATTGTATTCATTTTTAATTAAGTTTATTATTCTACTTATGCTTTGTGACAATTCCATATCATTATATTTACGGTTATCGTTGTTTATCATATGATTATCATTAATTGCCAATCGATTATCGTTATTTGATTTGTCAAAATTATTTTCCTTCTGATTGTTTAACTTGTTGTTAACATTGTTCTCTTGGCTCTCTTCAAAATTTCCTAGATTATTATCATCATTACTAAGTTTCTCATCAAGAAGAAGCGGGTTATTAATTTTATCTAAAGATTGAATGTTTAGATGGTGTTTTGTATCGAATCTTTCTTGGCTTTGATGGTAGTCATCATTATTTTTAGAACTGTCAGAAAATAAACTATGATCATTTAAGTGATAGATATTATGTTCATAAGGATTTCTACGCGTTTCTTGTTCTCTAAATTCTCTGAAAAAGTCATTGTTTACTGCATCAAAGCTGTTCGTTCTAGCTGTATGTAAAGGGTGTATCTTTTCAGTATTTAGTGAGCTTTTGAATATAGGATTATTCATTTGCATTAAAACAAGTTTTTTTGTGCTATAGATTTGATTAGATCTTTCAACGGAATCATCAGGTGAAAAGTTTTCCTGAAATGGTTCTCTATCATGACGAAGAATATATTCTTCATCCAACGGGTGTCTTTTGAGAGAATTAATTTGATTATATCTATTGAGATTTTTTTCTTTTTCTTCCTCATCTTCTTCCTCCCGAGATTTTTTCTCTTTGTTGATAAAATAACGTTCCTTCTCATCTAGATTTCGTTCATCACGTGGATTTAATTCCTTATTTTGATAGTTTTCATCGTTATCAACATAATTACGAATTTGATCATTAGTTTCAACGTTATTGATTTTTGAGATTCCAAATTTTAATGAACCATAATGTTGCTGTTGATTATAAATACCATTATTTACAGATTCTCTTGGTGAAAGATTATCAGAGCTTAAGTCTTCATCATTATTTTCACTAGATTTATCATCTAAATCATCATCAATATCATTATTTTTATTTTCTTTTATAGTTTTTGTAAAAGCCGTCATTGGCAGCTTGTATTTGTAACTGTTTTGAATGTCACTGTCGGGGTTTTTTGGACTATTTATTCCGTCAAATATATTGTCTATTTCTTCATCAGTTGGGTCGACTTCTAATAAGTTTGAAATTTGGTTACTATCGTCTTGGTCATCCTCATCCGGAATAGGAAAAGTCATTCGTTTTGTCGAATTTGTCATGAGATCTATTAAGAGATTGTGAAAAATGATGTTTATTTAAAAATAAAAAAATTATTTAAAATTTTCTTTCTCTTATCATCCCCGTTTTTATTTATTCCTGCCTAACATTTATAGTAAATATAATAATATTCAACATTTATAGTAAACATATTAAAAAGAAACTATTGTAAGTGATGTAGGCAAAAGTTTCTTTTAAAACAATTTTTACTTACTATCAGTTGAAACAGAATCGTGCTCATATCCATTTAATATTTTTACTTGACTAACTGAAGTAAAAGAAAAAAAACATAAAACTATAAATCAAAAAATTTAATTTTTTTAATTAAATATTCATAAATATTATAAAGGCTGTTGTTACCTTGTGTTGCAAAAGCCAACCAAAAACATAAAAACGTTGTTTGGCATTTCATTCTTCTTTTCATAAACAACAGGAAAGGAATAAATATCTTCATTTTGAAAGAGTTGATAATTACTTTAATGTATAAAAGATCATTATCATTTAGAAATAAATATTCTGTCTAGGCATTTATTCCTTAGATGAAGTCCGTTTGCTTTACTTTTTGCTTTTTGCTTTTTACAAAAAAAAAAAAAAAACTGCAGGCTGCAGTTTTCAAGGAAGTAATTAACTATTAAACCTTAAAATAAACAAGTCCACTCTAATTTATCACCAGTAAAAGTATTTTAAACTTCATTTCATGTGTAAAAAAGAAATCGACCTTTATATAATTTGTTTTCTTGAATTCAAAATAGAGATAGAAAGCAAACAAACAAGCAAAAAACATAGGAGAGGAAGGTGAGCATTAACTAACCGGAAAAGAGGTTTCCAACTGTGCTTTTTGTATATCGAAACAGCGATTGCTTTTCGATGTGCACAAAAATATTTTTAGAATCATATGCAGTATACTTTTTTTACAAATTAATCTATCCATCGTTTAAAAAATAATTTTACACTTTTAAAAAATAGCATAATTTGTTCACATTTGTATATTTATAAAAGAAATAAATATCTATAAAATACTGTTTATTCTTTTTTAAAAGAGTTTCTTTCTTGCCATATGCTAAATTTATTTAATGGCTGTTAAAAAACGGTTTAACCCGCGTGTTTATCAGTAACTTAAATATATTATAAACGATCATTTTGTTAATTGCCATAAATATGAAGTTAACCATAGAAGTAGCATCGCTAGTATAGACGAGGCCGCTAATCGGGTTAATCGGGTAAGGTTTTGTTTTAAAACCAGAACCAAACCTGTTTATATATGCATTGCTACTTAATTTATATGGTCACTAAATTTTGTCTAAACGGTTTTATTAAAAATTTTACATGTGGCAGGATAGCTCAGTGGTTTAGAGTGTCAAACGAAATATTAAAACATGGACTGTTGCACGAGTGCAAATCCGGCCACCCCCAACTCACCGCTTGAATAGTAGGGGAAACCGGGGCTAGTTGCAACAAAATATGAAAAATTGCACTTAGGATCTATTTATAAAGGACGTCACTATTTTTAATCAAATTTTGATCCCTTCCGCCCCCCTTCCTTTGTCACCGTTTGTTCTTTTTCCTTATACCCCCTCTGAAACCCCCCCTTCCCCATATTTTTAACTCCAAAAAATTTATTTCATCTCGCAATGTTGTTTGAATCTGCTGCTAGATCTTTGAAAAATAAAATTAAAAATATTCTCATACATTTTTTTTTTTTTGGTATTTAGGTGCCACAAGAAAACCTAACGGTCTTATCACAGAGCACCGCTGAAGTGCGTTTAACCAGGAAATTCAGGCCTTCTTCCTAACCGTAACGCAAAAGTATGTCCAAAGCTCGTTTTTTGAACCTAACTGAACCTACATAATCTTCTTAAAAACACATGTTTACATAGTTTTCCATGTTAGTTAAACAAAAATAAAAAATCTATAAAGTGACATCCTTGTCTGACAACCTGCCCCCTCCCCTCGTCATTTTTTTTCCTTTTTATCTTGACCCCCTACCCCTCTTTTTTGGATTACGTCCTTTATGGATGGCCCCTTATCTCCTATAACTTTGATCTTTTTATTTTTATTTTTTATCAGGGTTATAAAATAAATTTTAGTGACGTATTAAACCAACATTGATAGATATAATATAATACTTAGTTGCTCTGCTATAGTTAAACAAAAATGAATGAAAAAAATGCTGCAACTTACCCGGTACAAGTTGCAACAGTGAACAGGGTAAGTTGCAACACAATACTTTAAAAGTATAAGCCTCGTAAAGTCCAAGAAAAATTACATGTTAATCTCTAATTTCTATTTGGCAACAAAAAGTTTATATTTACACTAAGTAAAATATTTTCATTAAGCTGCAATATTTTTATTATGCGAGACTTTAAATACACCTGACTTGTTTAGTAAACTAATAACTATAGGGTAATTCCACGCCAAACGGTCCAATTTCCGAAATCTTTCCCGCTCGACTATCTCCGATTTTAATAAAATCTTGTCAGTATATTGTTAAACATGTATTATGAACATTGCCAAATTTTTAGATCAAAATATTTATTATTTTGGATTTTGTGGTACTTTTTGTAAGGCTTACCCAAAACTTCAATATCAGTCTGTAGCTAAAAACTGCATTTTTGGAGTCTTATATTTTCGTAATGAACGGGTAAAATATCTTAAAAACGTGGTTTCTTAGTAAACCGAAAGAGGAGATTACAAAAAAATAATACAAGTTTCATATGATGCCTATATATTAATCTATGGTTCACCAAATACCGTCACAAATTCAATGCCATAGATTTTTTCTGTTTTTTGTAGAGACATATCTCCAGAACAAAAGGTTTTTCAGTATTGCTATTTTGTCTAAAGGTCATACGTACTATTATAATGATATAGATTAAAAATCAGCTTTTTTATAACTGACTTTTTTGAGTTATTTTGAAAGCAATATAGCGACAAATGTGAAATACCCTAAAATAATGTGTGTTTGAAGCCCTAAAAATCAATGTGGGCAAATTTATTTTATTTTTTTAATTGTATTGTTGGAAAGAGCTTACTTCACACTTCTAGAAACAATAAAAACTGTTTTGGAGAGATTTTTGATATTTTAAAAACGATATAAAGGTCCGTAATTACGATAGGTCCGTAAACTAACTATAACCATGTAGAACTAATTTTAGTAAGTAAATATTTTTATTCTACGGAAAAATCTCTCTAAATTAATTTCAAATATTTAAGTTTATCAAAAACATTTAATATTGTAAGTCGAAAGTTAAAATTGAAGTTAGAATAAGAGTTATTTTAAATTTATCCTAACATGTCTGTTGAACAAAACTTAAATGCTTGTTGTATTGGAAAACTTGACGAAAGTTTTCCAATACAACAAGTATTGGAAAACTTTCGTCAAGTTTCATTTAAGTTCTTATTCACGAAAAAAGGGTTTTATTAATTTTTGCTCCGAACTTTCGAACGGAGAACAGAGTTTAATTATCAGGCGAACTTATAATTTGATTTAAAATATTACTTTAATTTGTTTCCACCACAAGTCACTGTTGTTGGTTAAATTTAAATATTTAAATATTGGTTAAATTTAAATATTTAATGCTGGTCATTATTTCTACACAAATCGTATTGTCAATGACTAGAATAGTCACTGCTATTGGTTAAATTGCTATTGTTGTTGGTTAAATACACTCATTTGCAGCGCTATTGTTTAAACACTTATGGAATGGCCAATCCTTGCTCAGTTGAAGGGTTAAGATGTATTGACCTAGAGACTGCAGACTGTCTTTCAAAGTTAACAAATAAAGTTATTTGTCCAGGTCAAAAATTGTGTCCAAATTGTCGCAAAGCTTATTTAACCGCAAAGTCTTCAAGTGAAAAAGTTGACAACATTGATGACATAGATGATATATTCTGTTCAACTAGCACAATTAATAATAGTCCTTCTGAGATCGGATTATCACCTTTAAGAAAACGCGTTAGTAAGAGAGATCATGCTAGTTATGTAAAAGGTAAAATTTAGAAATTGCAAATAACAGTTGCAGAAAAAATAGCTGTTGTTAGTGGTTTATCACCAAATAATGATGCTCTACCACTAGGCAGTGCAAATGTAGAGTGTGAGAATTGCATTGACTGGTCAGATTTGATACTAGAATTGAAGGATAAAATATCAACAACCAGTAATCCACGTGAAAAAGTTCAAATCTTAACTCTGATACCAAACAGTTGGTCAAGAATAAAACTATTTAGTGAATTTAAAGTATCAGAGAGAATGGCTAAAGCAGCAAAAAAGTTGAAGGCGAAAAGTGGAATCTTAGCACTTCCAAAAAGAAATGCAGCAAAGAAGTTGCCAGAAGAAGTTGGATTTTCTAAATTTTGTGAGTTACGTCCAAAATGGTGTATATCTGTTAGATCGTCAGGTACTCATCGTTTTTGTGTATGTACTATTCACTAAAATATAAAACTAATGCTTGCAAGTAGCCCAGTTACAGTAGACTATAAATGTCTGATTGAAAAAATAATTTGTGACACTGAATCTAAAGAACGTATGCTTCATCGTTTCAATAAATTTCCAGGGACTGAAATTTTAAAAGCTTATCTTGAAGAGCAGTTAAAAGACTTTAAATCTGATGAAACAATAACATTCAAGCAATGTATTAAAGTAGATCGTGAAACTTTAGAATCTTTGCAACTACCAGTAGACGACTTTATAAATAAATTAATTTCAAAAGTATCTGTATTATCTAAGCATCATTTTATTGCCAAAAACCAAAACAACTATTTGCGATTATTGACAAATGAGTTGATTTCAAATGAGTTGATCATTTTAATGGATAATTCTGAAAACTATTCGTTTGTTGTGCAAGATGCTGTTCAAGGGTTTTACTGGGAAAACAGCCAAACAACTTTGCATCCTTTTGTTATTTACTATAAACTTAATGACATACTTAAAAATACATACAAAAAAAATCCCTTGAAAATTGCTATAAAGCTAGCTAGTCGCTCATTTTCACCGGGCACATAATCAAACACGGATTTTTGTCCAAAATAGGATGCACGTTTAACTTATTGGGAAGTGTCGACTTCATTACGAAAGCATTAGCTAAAAGAAATTTAATTGATATTGCATTTTTAGACTTCGCGAAAGCGTTACATAAATTTTTTCACCATAGACTACTTCATAAATTGAAAGCAAATGGAATCAGTGGCTTTTAATTGAGTTATTTTTTATTAGTAGAAAACAGCGAGTTGTTTTAGGTGAACACTACAGCAACTGGACCGATGTTCTAAGTGGAGTTCCAGAAGGGTCTGTATTTGGTCCAACAATTAGCTAATGGAATTGATTGTTGCAAAATGTAAAACTATGCACTTTGGTTATGGAAAAAGTAATCATGAATTTGAAATAAACTATGAAAATACATCACTAACTCTTAAGGCCACGGAAATTGAGGGAGATCTGGGTATCTTTATATCTAATAATCTAAAAAGGAATCAACACGTACAAGTTGCAACACGTAGAGCAAATAAGATACTTGGTTTATTAAAAAAAACCATTAAGATTAAAAGATGTATGGAGATATTATGGAGTAAACTATAAACTACGTATGTTAAGCCGCATCTGGAATTTGCTGTTTCCGTATAACGTGCTTACTTAAAAATTACCTTTTTTCTCAAAGAAATTGAAAAAAGTCAGTACAAAGCAATAAAAGTACCTCATGATTTAATAACATTACCATGTGATGAAAGGTGTCGGCGTCTCGATTTTACTACTTTAGAAATTCGC